AGATTGGAATACGTGGGAGTGACAACTAAGGACCCAGATCACTTCAATATCATGCATGTTTCTGTTGAAAACCTAATTTCCAAGTTAAAATAAAGTCTCGTTTCCATTATATTTTTCCATTTTACACTTAAATCAAGTCGACATAATTATTTTGATTTGATCCCAAACTCTCTCATGATTTGTGTTGATCAGAATTTTCCCCACCATCATATACTTTACAGTTTGATAGTGATTGACACACATGGATTAACACAATCAAGATGATATAAACCCGCAAAATCTCCACGTGTTTTTATACCAAGCACAGATGACATGACACGAAACATGTACAATTTCTTTTTAGATCTTGCAGGTTCAATAATCTATATGAGAGAATCCAGTTTCGAGAGTTGATGAAGATTTGTAATTCCCATTTATCCTCACCCATTTAATTGTTTTTTCTGAAAATCTGAAGGTCGGCTCTCATTTCTTCTATCTTCTCTTTTTTTTTTTTTTTTTTTTTTTTTATGAGACTAGATTTCTAAATAGAATCTCACGTTTGTTCTTTTTAAGAGTAAAAAAAGTTCAATTCCCCATTCTATTAAAGAGCATTAGTTCCCTTGTAAAATGATTCTATCCTATAAAGATATTAATTCCCACATTAATTGACATGCCTTTTCTCTTGAGAATTATTCTTCCACGTAAGGGATCTGGTCATGCGGCTAAGAGAATTTTGTTCTTCGGGGCCTTCTAATTTCACTTGCAATTAATCTAAATCTCTCACTTCCCCAACCTTAAGGGCTCAACAATCATTTACATCAAACTCATCAATCTCTGGGGGGGGGGGGTTCGGTATCAGCTCTCGTTATTTCTAACGCAACTGGTCCACTAATATGAGCTGATCCATCACAATTATAGGCTCATTATTAAAGTGATCAAAAGTTGGGTAGGCCCATCTAGCTTCTATTCATTTCTAATACAATTGGTTCGTCAATATACTTATATTTCGGTTCCTTCTCAGAGAATTGAATAAAGAGATTCGGTTTGGTTTGGTTTGGTTCGTAGGGTGTTGATTTTGCAATCCCATGAAATTCTCAAAGGGAAGATCTACTTTTATGTTTTCTGTTTGGGGGTTGAGTGCAATTAAATCCTCCATATCATTATGGGCCGTGAAGGAACCCAATAATAAGTTTTCTTATAAAAAGAGAGGGAAGTAGAATCAAATCTTCTATATTTTCTACCTGTACAAATATTTATTTATATATTAATATTTTAATGTAACTATGTACTTTACGCTAATTGAGTAAATACCTTGTTAGAAAAGAGAAGAGAGGGCAAAAGAGAGAGCAGAAGATGAAGATAAAATACTCTCTGATTTCACTTTTACAACCTAATGGAATATATACTACCATTGTACAACAAATGGCAAAAGAAAACAAAAACAGTTACATTACAAACAACAAACTAATTTTAGCTTAACACAGACTAATCTTAATATCTTCTAATTAATCTTAATACTCCCATTTAAGATGGAGAGTACAAATTTATTGTACCCATCTTGTTCAATAAATTGTCGAACTGCGCAGGATGAAGTGCCTTTGTCATTAAATCTGTCAATTGATTCTGAGTGGATATATGCATCGTTTTCAAGGTACCAACTTGAATCCTTTCACAAATAAAATGACAGTTAAATTCAATATATTTTGTTTTCTCATGATATATTAGATTTGAAGTAATGTGTAGAGCTGTCTGATTATCACAGTAAAGTAATGCAGGACCTTGATGTTGCACCCTTAAATCTCGTAACAATTTCAGAATCCATACTATTTCGCAAGTAGTGTTGGCCATGGAACGATATTCAGCTTCTGCAGATGATCGAGATACAACTTGCTGTTTCTTTGATTTCCATGAGATTAATGAAGACCTAAGAAAAACACAATAACCAGTTATAGATCTTCTAGTGTCAGGACATGTGCCCCAATCAGCATCAGAAAATACCTTAATCTGAATGGCAGATGATGAAGGGAAGAAGAGACCTTGTCTAGGTGTCCTCTTGATATACTGGAGAATCTGCAAAGCAGCTTGAAGGTGATTGGTCTTGGGAGCAGCAAGAAATTGACTCAGTCTATTGACATAATAGTATATTTCAGGGCGAGAGATGGTTAAGTATAATAATTTTCCAATCAGTCGCTGATAACTTGTGATATCACTCAGAAGTTCTCCGTTATCTTTAGACATCTTAATATTTGGTTCCATGGGAGTAGATAAGGGTTTACAACCAAGATATCCAGTTTCAGTTAACAGATCCAACGCATATTTTCTTTGGCATAAGGTGATTCCTGTGTCATTTCTTGCAATTTCAAGTCCAAAAAAATATCGGAGAGTCCCCAAATCTTTCATTTTAAATTTTTATTTGAGTGTAACTTTGAGTTCTTCGACAGCCTGATCATCATTACCAGCAATAATAATATCATCAACATACACCAACAATATTAGAAAAACATTACCATGCTGTTTGACAAATAAGGTTTTGTCACATTTTAACTGATGGAAACCTTCTTGAAGTAATACTTGTGAGAACTTATGAAACTACTGTCGAAAAGCCTGTCTCAACCCATAGATTGACTTGTGTAGTCGGCAAACGGGTTGATGTGGAAGAGTCTCCCCCTCTCGAGGAGAATAACCTGGAGGAATAGTCATATAAACTTCTTCGTGAAGGTCACCATGAAGGAAAGCATTGGTGACGTCTAACTGAGTCAGACTCCAACCATGGATAGCAGCCAGTGAAAGCAAAATTTTGACAGTAACCAATTTTGCAACAGGAGAGAAAGTGTCAATGAAATCAATGCCAAATTGTTGTGTGTAGCCCTTAGCAACCAGACGGGCTTTGTGTCTTTCTACGGTCCCATCGGCTTGATATTTAACTTTATAAACCCACTTACAATCAACAGTTTTCTTCCCAGGTGGGAGGAAAACAATAGACCAAGTGTTATTGTTCTCTAAGGCACGTAGCTCCACATTCATAGCATTCATCCAAATGTCGGACTAGATAGCCTCAGAAAAGTTAGTAGGCTCAATGTGGGAGGAAATGACACAAATAAAGTTTTGATGTTGAGGTGTAAGTTTTGTATAAGTAAAGAATGAGGAAATGGGATAAAGTGCATGTGTATCTGTATGGTAGCAGTGATAGTCAGACAAATAAGAAGGTGATCGTGTTACACGCAGAGGGCGAGATAATAGTGTTTGGGAAGACTCATGCGGTGTATCAAGAGAAACTGATGATTGTGTAGGTGTATGGAGAGGAAGAGGTAAAACACGGTCATGAAAAAGGTCACTGTGAGTAGGACTAGGTGAGTGGGATGAAAGAAACGGAAATATACGTTCATGAAAAATGACGTTACGAGAGATGATGATTTGATTGCTCTCAATGTCGAGAAGTTTGTATCCTTTGTAACTCGAAGGGTAATCGAGGAAGACACAAGCCCTAGAACGAGGTGAAATTTTATGGCGATGACTATCGAGAGTGGAGCAGTAGTATAGATAACCAAAGGTACACAAATGATCATAGGAGGGTTTTTTGTGAGTTAATAGTTCAAATGAAGTTTTATTAGACAACAAGGGGAAGGTGTACGGTTGATTAGGTAAACAGTACTCAAGATGCAATTGCCCCAATAGACAATGGGAACATGGGATTGAAACAGTAAAGCACTTGTCACATTTAAAATGTGTTGATGTTTACGTTCGACAACAGAGTTTTGCTGGGGAGTCTGAACACAGGAATGAT